ATGTGCCACATTTTCTTAATCCAGTCTGTCACTGATGGACATTTGGGTTGATTCCAAGTCTGCTATTGTGAATAGTGCCGCAATAAACATACGTGTGCATGTGTCTTTATAGCAGCATGATTTATAATCCTTTGGGTATATCCCCAGTAATGGGATGGCTGGGTCGAATGGTATTTCCAGTTCTAGATCCTTGAGGAATCGTCACACTGTTTTCCACAATGGTTGAACTAGTTTACAGTCTGACCAACAGTGTAGAAGTGTTCTTATTTCTCTACATCCTCACCAGCACCTGTTGTTTCCTGATTTTTTAATGATTGCCATTCTAACTCGTGTGAGATGGTATCTCATTGTGGTTTTGATTTGCATTTCTCTGATAGCGAGTGATGATGAGCATTTTTTCATGTGTCTGTTGGCTGTATGAATGTCTTCTTTTGAGAAGTGTCTGTTCATATCCTTTTCCCACTTTTTGATGGGGTTGTTTGTTTTTTTCTTATAAATTTGATTGAGTTCTTTATAGGTTCTGGATATTAGCCCTTTGTCAGATGAGTAGATTGCAAAAATTTTCTCCCATTCTGTAGGTTGCCTGTACACTTTGATGGTAGTTTCTTTTGCTGTGCAGAAGCTCTTTAGTTTAATTAGATCCCATTTGTCAATTTTGTCTTTTGTTGTCATTGCTTTTGGTGTGTTAGACTAGAAGCACAAAACTTCTTAATTTCACAGTGTCACAGTTAGCGAGGAATTTGCCTCAGTATGAATTTTGCCTTGGGTCTCACCCACATCTGATTTAAATGAGACTCTGGGCTTTGGGCTTTTGAGTTGATGCCGAAAGGAGTTAAAACTTTTAGGACTATTGGGGTGGAATAAATTTTTTTATATTGTGAGCAGGACAGTAATTTAGTGGGTCTGGGGTGAAATGTTGTGGTTTGAATGTGTGCCCCAAAATTCATGTGCTGGAAGCTTAATCCCAAATGCAACAGTGTTGAAAGGTGAGGCCTAATAAGAGGTGATTAGGTCATGAGGCCTCTGCCCTCATGGATGAATTAATGTTATTATCATGAGGGTAGGTTAGTTATTTTGAGAGTGGCTTTGTTATAAAAGTGAATTTGGACTCTTTTGCTCTCTTGCTGTCACCCTCTCTTACCCTTACACCTTCCACAATGAGATAACACAGCATGAAGATCCTCAGAAGATGCCAGCACCATGCTCTCTTAGACTTCTCAGCCTCCAGGGCCAGGAGCCAAACAAATGTATTTTCTTGGTAAATTACTCAGCCTATGGTATTCTGTTATAGTCATACAAAACAGGCTAAGGCAGCATTATTACCATTATGGAAAGCAAAATCCAAGCAGCAATCAGAAGGATCTGACCCACACAGACCTATGGCATTGGCTAATTAAGCATGGTGTTCCTAGAAGTGAAATAGATGACAAGCCTATTAAATTTTTACCTAATCTATATAAGCAGAACATTTCTAGGTTAAGTAAACAAAATTTTAACCTGAGCCATAAAGTCACAGCCTGCTTCTCAATCAAGTCCCAGACTACAGATCCAGAACCTTTGAAAGAAGGGGAGGCAAGGTCTCCTTTAGGAATAACTCCAGTACATTACTGAAAATTTGTACTGTTAATCTTTCTCCCAGCCTTCCCTAAAGGACCTACAGCCTTATACCAAAGTAAATATCCATTGGGGAAAGGGAAATAATCAGACTTTGCAGGGACTGCTGGACATTGGCTTTGAACTGACACTAATTTCAAGGACCTAAAATATCACTGTGGCCTTCCAATAAGAATATTGGCTTATGGAGGTCAGGTGATCAATGGCGTACGTCACTGTGGGTCCAGTGGGTCCCCAACCCATCCTGTGGTTACTTTCCCAGTTCCAGAATGCATAACTTGAGTAGACATACTTACATGCTGGCAGAATCTTCACATTGGCTCTTTCACCTGTAAAGTGAAAGCTACTACGGTGTGAAAGGCCAAATTTAAGCCATTGGAACTGCCTCTACCTAGAAAAACAAACCAAATGCAATACCTCACTGGAAAAATTGCAGAGAGTAGTACCTTCATGAAGAGCTTGAAAGATGCAGGGGTGGTGATTCCCACCACATCTCCATTTAATTCTCCTATTTCACCTGTGTAGAAGACGAATGAATCTTGGAGAATGACAGTGGATTATTATAAGCTTAACCAACTGGTGACTCCAATTGCAGCTGCTGTGCCAGATGTGGTTTCATTGTCTGAGCAAATTAACACATCTCCTGGTATCGTGTATGCAGCTATCTGGTATCTTTTCCTCCATCCCTCTCCATATGGCCCACCAGAAGCAGTTTGCTTTCAGCTGGCAAATCCAGAAATACACCTTCACTGTCCTATCTTGAGGGTATACCAACTCTAAAGCCCTATGCCAGAATTTAGTTCAAATGGATCTTGATCACCTTCCCCTTCCACAAAATATGCTGGTCCACTACAATGATGACATTATACTGATTTCACCTAGTAATTGAGTAGCAGCAACCACTCTAGGCTTATTGTTAAGACATTTGTCTGTCAGGGAGTAAGAAATAAACCATAAATAAAATTCAGGGGCCTGCTACCTTAGTGAAACTTCTATAGGTCCAGTGGTATGCAGCCTGTTGAGATATCACTTCTAACATGAAGGATAAGTTGCTACATCTGGCCTCTCCCACAACTAAGAAAGAGACACAATGCCTGGTGGGCCTATTTGGATTTTGGAGGCAACACATTCGTCACTTGGGTGTGTTACTCTGGCCCATTTACCAATTAACCTGAAAAGTTGCTAGTTTTGAGTGAGGCCCAGAACAAGAGAAGGCTATGCAACAGGTTCTGGCTGCTCTGCCACTTGGACTACATAATCCAGCAGATCCAATGGTGCTTAAAATATCAGTAGCAGATAAGGATGCTGTTTAGAGCCTTTGTCAAGCCGCTATGGGTAAACTGCAGCACAGGCCTTTAGGATTTTGAGCAAGGCCATGTCGTCATCCACAGATAACTACTCCCCTTTTGAAAGACAATTCCTAGCCTGCTGCTGGAACTTAGTACAAACTGAATACTTGATCATGGGCCGCCAAGTTACCATGTTACCCAAGCTGCCCATCATCAACTGGGTTATATCTGACCCACCAAGCCATAAAGTTGGGCATGCACAGCAGCACTCTATCATAAAATGGAAGTGGTATATATGTGATCAGGCTCGAGTATGTTTCAAAGGCATAAGTAAGTTACATGAAGAAATGGCCCAAATGCCCATTGTCCCAATCTGCTCCTGCTATATTGCCTATTTTTTCAAAGTTTCCTGGGTCTACAACTTGCAGGCAGTAGACTTCTCAGCCTCCAAAACCATGTGTGCCAATTCCCAAAATAAATCTGTTTCTCTGAGATATACATTGGTTCTGTTTCTCTGAAGTACCCTAATACAGAGATCTTTCCCTTTAATATGCATGCATATCTACATTTATAAAAGTGTGAAAAGGAATACAACAACACTTTAAATGTGGTTTTTACCCAGTGGTAGGATTACGCTGCTTCTTCATTCTGTTCAACTATACATTATGATTCTAGGATTTGTTTGCCCAGAAAACAGAAATGAAAGAAAAAAATGTTATTACAAATCAAATTTTAAAATATAAATTACATATTTATCCACTGAAAACACAGCAAAATTGAAATAATTATAATACCTAGTTTAGAGCCTTTTGCAGAGAACTGGGTACCCTTTTAGAATGGAAATAACAGAGTAACCGTGTAAGTTGACACAACTTTATAAGTGGGAATTTGACTATGAAGTATAAGTTCTTAAAAATGATCTATAATTTTGTTTTTAATGTTAGAAGTATCTGTTACGGAAATGATTATGGATATAACTGTAAATTTAGGTAAAAGACAGTCAACATAGTGGTCTGAAATTAAAGGATAATTGAGGACAAATAAAATTTCCAACAATGTAGGAATGAAAAAAATGAGCGAATTCATATACATAATAAATATTCAAAGACCATTTTAAATGATATTAAAAAAACATGAAAATATATGAGGTCTATTATTAAACAAAGATTCCAGAAAAATGTAAAGATGTAAAGCATGATTTGGTATTGTGTATATATATATATATATATGTAAATCATAATATGTAACAATATGTACATATTGTACAATGCTGTCTCTCTCTCCGTGTGTATATATATATATAGGTATGTATGTATATGTATATAATATAATCCTAGAAAGCTACTGACCAAAACATTAAAAGCAACACTAAAGATAGGGTTATAGGTAGTTTTAAATTCTTTTTCTTATAGCCAGAAATTGCTAATATTTTGTAATAAAACTTTATTTTCTATTTAATTGAAAAAGTGTAAAAATTAAAATCATATGTACTATATAGCAGCAATGGGGTACTCCATATTTGTTTGTAAGAATGTTTGTTCAGGAAACAATACTGAATGAAAGCAATGATTTCAGCATCAGAATATTCTTAGCAGCTTTGGTTTCAATGAGGAAACACCAGAAACAACAAACACCCAAATCTATCAAAATTGGAGGAGAGATGAAGGTGAAATCTATTGAAATAGATCCATGGCATAGATCAAAAGGTTGGCAATTATTATATATGGATAGGAGAATGATTACTGATTTTTATTTTTCCTATGAATGTTATTTGATTTCTTTTAAAAGTGAAGTTTCATTATTTGAATAACAAAACAAAACTTTTAAAAAAATTAAAAAGAAAAACAAAAAGTGAGATATGGTCCTCATAGCATTATATTGGCAAAAAAAAAAAAAAAAAAAAAAATCCAAAGTTTAAAATATCCAAAGAGATACTTGTGCAGGAAATGGACATTCCCTAAAGTACTAGGGGAAATATAAATTGGTGTATTCAGGCTACTTGATAATATAGTTAAAGAATATTAAAAGGTTTCTACTTTTCAACACCCCTTTTAAGTATTTATCTTAAGTAAATAATACAAGAATGCTGCTGCAGAATTATTTACCACAGATTCATGTTTCTGGGAAAAATTTAGAAACTACTTTTTAAAGCCCAACGTGAAGAAACACTTAAAAAAAAATTCTGATCCACTTATACAATGGCAGTGAGTTGCAGGAGAATATTTAGTAGCAAAGGATGTTTTAGATGTATTTACAATATACTTAAATAAAAATTTTGACAGAATACTTTCACTATGAACACAGAATATACATTTAGTATAGAATATATTCAGTATGATTTTATAATGGTTTTAAAATTTACAAAAGGCAAAGCCTGCAAAGGCATAATCTCTTTAATGTGGCTATTGTGCATATATAATATGTGTGTCTTTTTAAAGTAACGCACTTGTAAAACGAAATAATTTTTTAAAACTACAAGCCTAAATAATTTCCCATAACTTAAAAAAATACTAACTTAAGGAGATGGTAAAGGAAATATGCATTCTCTTACACTGTTGGAGGGCATAAACTTTGTGGAAGAAGCATTTGGCAGCAGAGAGCAAGGTATATAAGGCAATTAAATATTTCTTGATGTCAGCAAACATTCAGCTCCAAATGTGTTACGGAAAAGTCATAGCCATTTAAAAAAATATATTGAGGGCAGGATTTTGGAAATTATAGTTCATCTGTAAAATGAAACACTAAGTAAAAATAAAATTATAGGAGACTATTAAAGAATTTGGAAAGATGGTAAGTAAAATTTCTTATGCTGAAAATATACCATAATGAAACATACATCCTATATTACATTTTTGGAGGTATTAGTTATTTTCATGTATGTCTCAAATGCTTCAAAAGTTTTTTCTATTTTCGTCAAGTGGTAGAATCAAGAATGATTTTCAATTTTTTCTTTAGAATATTTTAAAAAATGCTTTTAGTTGATAATGTATTGTCTGCATAAAGATGAATGTTTAAAACAAATAGAAACAAAAAATCTCAAATTATAAGTAATTTAATATCAAGTCTCAAAAACTGTAAAGGTATCCAGGTACACTCACAATATCTGCGTAGTTTATGAGGGTAAATTGGTACTATCTTTATCAATGGTCACTTACTAAAGAAGGAAAAAAAAAGATTTTAAGCCTCCCAATCTTTTCATCCTTCAATTATACTATGAACGTCTGTTCAGGAAATAAACATGAATGTAATGTTTGTGCACTGTGATCCTGTTGGCAGCTTTGGCTTGTGTAAGAAAACAAAATGAAACAACCCAGATGTCCAACAATTACTTAAAACAAATATATCCCTATATCTATATCTAATATGTACATATATCTATCACTCTATCCAGCCCAATCACACATTAGAGCACTAAACATCCATGAAAACTATTTTAGAAGAATATTTAATGACATGAAAGTTCAAGAATATCTATAAATCTATGTCTATAATATATATTTATGTGTGAAAAAGCAGATATTGAAACAGTATATACAATAATTTCACATATATATCACATAAAAATATGGGGCAGATACAGATGAAAATGTTTCAGGAATGTATAAGTAATCATCAGAAACGATTACGGGTGACATTAATTTTTCTCTGTTAACTTGTCTGCTTCGTGATTATTTTTTTTTTCCAGCAATGACGCTGAATTACTTTTCTGACAAAAGGGAAAAGGACAGGAAGTGGGCACAGAGGAAGGGGGTATTAAACAGTGTTGGATTGCAGCAGAACCACCGAAGACAGCGAAATACCCTTTGCAGCCCGACAAGCTGGCCAAGACACACACACAGACACACACACGCACGCACACACACAGGCACACACGCACACATGCACACACACGTACCATCAATTACGGTGACCAGGAGACTATGCAGGGGAAACGGGCATACTCTTTACTAGCTGCGCTGGCCGGCACGAGTGCAAATCGGTACAATGCTTATGAAGGGGGCCTTTTGGCAACACACAGGAAAAGTCTTTAAAATGTCTCTATGTGGATCTTGCAAGTCCACAGTTAAGGAGACCACCCCACCGGGATGCTGGCAAAGATTTGGCTTGACAAGGAAGGATTCACTCATCAAAGCACAGAGCACGCAATGTTGGTCTTAAACACAGGGAAAGAACTAGGCACCACCTGAATGTCCAACAACGTGGGAATGATTACAGAAATGTTAAGGTCCACGGATACACTGGAGCACTCTGCAGGCACTGAAGATGACGTTTCATAAGCCTGTTGATAACATGGAAAGAAGTTCAATGGATTGATTTTTGTTTGGTTTTAGTTGCTGAAAAGCAGGTTAAGAAACACCACATACATGAACCATTCTATAACAGTGTGTTAAAAGGGAAGGCGGGGTGGGGGTGAGCAAAGGAGAGAGAGGGAGAGAAGAGAGCCTGGAAAAGCAGCACACCAAAAAGGTAAAAGTGGTTCTCTCTGGGGAGTAGGACCAGGGGAGCAATTACTCTCTTGTTTCTTCCCTCATCTAACATCCTTCTCCTTTCTGATGTTTCTACCATGAAATGGTATCACCTGTGCAGTAAACAAAGAGAGAATGAAAATGCTTTTTAAACCAAACCACAGGGAGAAGAGGCAGCCTTTAACCTACAAATGGCACAGATTAGTAAGATTATTCACAACGCCCTTGGTAGGGGTGGGCGGGGGAGAGGAAGGGAAGGAGAGGAGAGGTGGGGAGAGAAAATAGGAAGGGGGGAGCAGAGAGGGGGAGAGAGAGAGAGACCTGCACTCCCAATACAATAAATACACTGCTGGTGGGTTGGCGGGGGAGGGCTGGGGGTGGGGGGTTGTAAACCGGGTGTGAACCAAGGTTTGGCTCTGCTGGCTGGCTAGCTCCTGGGATGTCTTCATCGCAAGGTGGCCTCCTCGTCGGTGTCTTCCTCGAAATCCTTGACGTCAGCACTAGTGGACTGCCTGGCCCAGGCTCCCCTTTCGGCCTCTCGTTCTTTATGCGACTTGAATCTCCCGACGAAAATTTTGCGGTAGTTCAGGAACATGCCATTCATCACGTCGATGGCCCGCTCCGCGGATTCCTGCTTTTGGAAGTGCACGAACCCGTAGCCCTTGGGCCCCTTTTCGTCACAGGCCACTTTGCAGGAAAGGATGTTGCCGAACGCCGAGAAGATGTTGTACAGCGCCTTGTTGTCGATGGTCTTGCCCAGGTTCTTGATGAAGACGTTGCCCACCCCGCTCTTGCGGAGCGACGGGTCCCTCTGGGACCACATGATGCGCACTGGCCTGCCCTTTATGACATCAAAGTTCAGGGTCTCCAGGGCCCGCTTGGCGTCCACCGGTTGCTGGTAGTTGACATATGCGTAGCCCAATGAGCGGCGGGTGATCTTGTCCCTGCAGATGCGGATGGAGAGGATGGGCCCAGCTGGACTGAATTTCTCGTACAGCATTGCCTCGGTCACCTCAGGGTGCAGGTCGCCCACGTACAGGGAGGCCATCGGAAAATCTGGGTTCCCCTCACAGCCCCCGCGGGTCTCAGCATCCGCATCTGCATCGGCGGCGGCCGCCGCAGACGCCACAGCGGCCGCCACCCCCTCATTCGCATCCGCATCCGCATCCGCCTCCCCCAAGGGGGTCCCTGCAGCCTCCGCTGCGGCGGCGGCTTCGGCCGCGCTGCCCTCCGCCACCGCCACCGCCGATGCCGCCCGGGCGGCCTCCGCCTCCCCAGGGGTGGCCTCGGATGCTGCCTCCTCTATTGAGGCCTCGGCCTCCACCTCAGCCTCCACCTCTGCTTCCGCCTCCGCCACGGAGGCCTCCGCCACGGCCTCTGCCACGGTCGCCGCCGCAGCCTCCGCCGCCGCCGCCGCCGCCGCAGCCGCTGCCGCCACCGCCGCCGCCACTGTCGCTGCTGTCGCCACGGTCGCCGCTGCTGCCGGGCCGCTGCCGCGACCTCCCTTCCCACGAGCTGGGGGACGGAGAGGCGGGGGAGGGCAGGAGGGCCGGTGGGTGCCGGAATCCAGACCCGATGCGCAAGCGGGAGCTGGCGCAGGGGAACCGAACTGGCGAGTTCAAGTCACCTGGGATGGCAGGTGTTGCCAGGAGCGCGCCGGTGCGAGTCGCAGCAGCCTGCAGCCAGCTGCTGTTGCCGCCGCCGCTCGGTCGTGGGCTAGCGCGCAGGGTGCGGGGCGCGGGCGGGCAGGCAGCGTGTGGTGGGGGGCGGGGGGTGTTGGCGTCTGTCGTCCGGGCAGCTGGGAAGGCTTCTGTCTCTTTGGTTCCCCCTGTGGCTGCTGCGGGGCCGCGGGGCCGCGGGGCCGCGGGGCCGCGGGCGGTGGGAGAGGACGCCAGCAGTAGAGGGAGCGGGGGCGGGAGTGCTCAGCCCCTCGGGTCGCCTGGATATTTATGAAAAGGGCGCCAGGGAAAGGGCTGCGCTGTAGACCGAAGGGATAAGGGTTCGATTCGGAAGGGAGCGTTATTTGTATCCCCTCTCTCCACATAGTGGAACGTTTAAATGATTAAATCAAGTACCTTGCAGGAGAGGCTGGGGTGGCCTTGAGGATACACTCAAGGCCTCAGGACATGCAGTCTGGAAGTGGTGGAATCAAGAGCACCCTGTCCCTAGTACTGTCCTCAATGATAAGGTGAGGAAAGCCAAACCCAGGGCTGGGAACAGGGCCTGGTCCAGAGCCAGGCACTTGTTTATTCTTGGCTCTGCTCTCAAGGCGCTGAGGTTCCCAACCTGGACCAAGAAATACATATTCAGGTTCAAAAGATAAATCAAAACAAAACCTGAGCTCTCTCTCTAGAATGAAGTGCCTGGTCCCAGATCACCAGCTAGTATTTATGGAAAGCTTATCAGGTACTTGGTACTGGGGGCTAAGGGGCCCACAATGTGTTAAGTGAGCAGGGAGTGTCGATGTGTTGGAGGTGTGGAGCAGGGTGAGAAGAGGTGAGCAGTGTGTGTGTGGTGAGAGCAGAGAGGCCACACAGAGCCAGATGCTGGGCGTATAGACAAGGGAGCCACCATGAGAGCTGAGTGTAACAGAAGCTACAGTCCCGCTTCCTCCAGAAAGGAGAACCAACCCCTAACTCTTCTTGGTAGCAATTAAGTGAGGCTGCACCAAAGACAGAACCCCCGAGGTGGGCTCTGCAACATGAGGAGCAGTCCACCATGTCAAGGCAGGAAGGAAGGCATTCTGGCCATGCCTAATAATCTGGCAGGGCCAGAGCTCATGGTCTCCAAGAGTACATGGTAGCAGACAGGGCTGGAAGGTGTGGGACCCTGAGAGTCAAGCTAAGGTGCTTCGACTGTATACCCAAGGTCACAGGGACCACTCAGCGTGTTCAAGGAGGGAAGCAGTATGATCAGAACTTTAGAATGAGTACAAATTAAACATCAATGTGCATGTATAAGTGCACATTTACACGTACACGCACGTACAAAACCAAGACAGGGCTGACAGAACACAAGGAAGAAAGTCAGATGTGACCAATTCAAAAAGAGTCTGAACAATCCTTCCCTCTGTCCCTTTTCATTCCATAAATAGGGGTCTCACATTTACCGTGAGCCAGTGGGGCCAGATATTTAAAAAGAGAAAACCATAGTGCCTTCCCTCAGGATGCCTGCACTCTGCTAAAGCTCAGCCTGCCCCCACAGAAAACAGAAGTGTCAGCAGAGGACTGTAAGTGCTATGTGATTGGACTATGGTGGCCATGGAATTTCACCTGCCCGGCACATATTCTCTCATCCTCTCCTCCTCTGCCTTGTTTGGGTAAGTAAAGCCGTGTTCTGTGGTTGCAGTGATGGCTGGATCTTGTCCGTCATACATGATAGAACAACCGTGAACCTGAGGAAGTGACTGAGTCACTGTGGGGTGCGAGGCAGTGAGAACTCTTCATCGCTGGCTGGAAAGCATCCCAAGGTGGCTGAGAAGCAGATACACAGACATGTACCTCTCCAGCTTGCAAAGTCCAGCTCTCTGCCTGTAGGCAGGGCTAGAGCCAGCAAAGGCAAGGGACAGAGACCTAGGAAAAGCCTGCTGTACAGCGCATGCCTGACCAAGGTGATCACTGTCACTGCTGTTAAGAGCCATCTCCTGGGGGTCTAGGTTGCTTGCAGGCAGGGAACAGATGAAGCTGTGCCTCGCCATTTCCAGGTTGGTGTCCAAGAGGGACCTGAGAAGGCAGAGGCCAAGGGGGAAGCCATGCTCGCAGAGGGGTAGGGGATGTGGCGAGGATGAGAAGAGCTTCTCGGCCCATTGTTAGGAAACAGAAATGACAAGGAAGACCAAGTCGAGGACCAGGACTCAACAAGATCTCCTTCTCTGGTGTTGGTTTCCAGTACACAGAGCCAACCGAAATCAGTGAAACAGCAGGAGAAGGAAGTTCAGGGAAGTCATGCAATGGCTAGCAAATCCCCAAACCTGAAAACAATTCCTAGGATCCTGAAGCTCTAGCAACAGGAACAGGGGTACCAAAGAGACAAGGACACAGCTGGGACTGCTCCCCAAGTCCTTTCTCAGGGGCTTCCATGGAGTCGAGTTTCCACCTCCCTTTTGTTTTTTATTTTTAAAGTTGCTTTGTGGTCAGTTTCTGCCACCTGCAAATGGAATGTGTTCTGACCATTACACACTGTGACAGGGGCAAAAATAAAGAACCCTGTGGAGCCTCAACAGAGGGAGAGGAAGTTTCCTTTCCTGTGGGAGGAAGTGCTGCTGATTTTATTTATTCAGTGATTCAAGAAATATTCCTGGAGGGTCTTCTATGTACCGAGTATTCTGCCAGCCAGACTGTCCCTGCACTCAGGGAGCTCATTTTCTAGTGGGGAGACAGACAATGGACAGATGAGGGAATATGAAAACAGTTAAAGGTTGCTGTGAATGCTCTCGGGCATATAAACAAGGTGATTTGGTACATATTGCCTAGAACCCCAGAAAAGTGGCAAAACGGGAGACACGAAGCTCAGGGAAGGCCTTTCTGAGGACAATGATGAGCCGCCAGTCTTTCAAGGAACCAAGGGGGAAACCTGCCCAGCAGAGGGAACAGCAATTCCCCTGGCCCTGTGGCAGAAAAGAGAGGGTACTGGGGGTGGGAGTGGGGGCAGAAAGGGTGCCAATGTTGCATGGAGCCCAGTGTGAGCGGGGATAGAGGAAAGAAAGGGAGGAAGGTGCAGTGGTGGGTGGTGCCATGATGAAGAGTCTGGTTCTTCTTCAGAGGGCTCAGGAGAGCCAGAGAAAGGATTGAAGCAGGTAGTAGCATAATCTAATGCTTATTGAGTGGTTTCTCTCTAGCCCTTCTGTGTGGGCAATATCACAAGTGGGCAGGGCACAAAGGAAAGCAGGGAGACCAGTTAGGAGGCTCTTGCAGTAGTCCAGTCCAGAGAGAGCAGGGGCTTGTCCCAGACTGGAAGCCTCAATGTGGAGACTAGTGCATGGATTCACATGGTGTTTTGGAAGTGGGAGAGACAGCACTTGCGAGTGGATTAGAGGCAACCAGGGAACAAACTTAAGAAATGAACGATTACTACGAGAGTGTTTTCTTGGACATCCTCATCAGAGGTCTATGTACGGTCATAGGAAAGACAGAGAGTGGGCATGGTAGATTTGGAGAAGGCAGAAAGATGGATGGGTGTGTGTGTCAAGAACTCCTATTTGCACAGGCTTAGTTACTGAAGTCTGCTTGTCATCCATAGAGGCTGGAGAAACAGAATTGTTGAGACAACAGGACACAGTTAGGGTTTAAAGTCACAAAACTGAATAGGATCACCCAGAGAGAGTATAGCCAGGAGAAGAAGGTACAGGGCTACTCCCTGAGATACTCTGACATTTAGAAGTTGGGTGGGGAACACAAGCCAGCAAAGGAGATTCAGAAGGACTGGACAGTGAACAGGACTCCTCTCTAAGGCCTTGCATGTCCAAACGTGTCTAAACTTCTCGCCAAGGCTTTTCATCACCAGCCTCAATGTCCTCATTGAGACTCTGCTCTCATGCTCCTAGCTGTACAATGCATGGGAGTTGGTTTAAAATGGGACAACAACAACTTTGTGTGCTTGGGTTTGGACTTCGCCTGCTGATAATTTCTCAGTGGAGCTTTCAAAAGAGAGAGAGGTTCAGATGCAGAGAACTTCAAAGAGTGGGGTAGGCACTGCTCTGCTATTTCATGTGGCCCATCTCCCTTTTCCTTTCAGGAGGGAGAAATCAGAAGGAGTGGGAATGCAGTTCAGAGAGCAGAGGAGAAGAGAAGAAAAGAAGGAAGAAGGAAGAGGACTGGGGGTGGGTGTGGGGGAGGACACCAATGGGAAGAGGGACAGATCAACTCTACACACAAAAGTAAACCAAAACACCAAAAACAGGGGTCTATGTAAGGAAGCCTCTTCCCGTGAATTGCTCGTTGCATAGCTGCAGGGAGGGTGTTTGGGGGCATAGAGAATGAAAACACCTGTATTTTGGTGTAGGGAAATTGTTTCTGTCAATTCGCACCGTCCACACGCCACCTCCCACCCCAACCCCACCACTACCAAATTCCTCTAAATAAAAATAATTATGAGATACAGGCCAACAAAAACCGCGAGCCTTAGGCTGTTATTTAGGGAGAATTGGAAAGCGTTTGGATATGCCCCTGTTGTTTAATAAATGACAACAATGATTACTAAGTTGTCCTGAGTCAATACAACAAATTTAGCAAACGGTCCTTTGGGTCCTTAAAAAGTGAAGAGTTGACGGAGACAGATTTGTATATGGGGCAGGGATGGAATGGTAGTGAGTCCTGGAGAGATAAGAACCCCAGGACATGATGAAATATGTATGTGTTTATCACAGAAACATTCATATTGGGCAAATTAGGGCACAGAGCAAGTATGCATCAGTTGAGGAATGACTGATACATTGGCAGTGCAGCCATTCTGAGGATTATTATACAACCATTAACAAGTATGAGTTATATCTATATAAGCAGATTTAAGGGGATTTCCAGAATGTGCTACTACCAGGCGAGAAAAGCAGGTTTGTTTTCGTCATTTTGGTGCAAACAAAAGGAGATGGGCCTTGGAGCCAGATTGGCTGGTAAGCTGAATTTCAGAGCAAAACACTTAACCACTCTTGAGCCTCTGTGTGTGCTCAGAGTTTGAATTTCAGAAACCTTAATTAAGCATCTTACAAATTTCCTTTGTAACAAGTAGTTTTGCCCCAGCTCTGCTTAGAAACCGAGCCAAAGGGCTGTATTGACTGATGGTTTTTACACAGCATTCCAGATATTTTTCTCTCTGAGAACCAATTCACCTTCTAACACACGCTTAAAGCTTTAACTCATGCCCTCTTTGTTATAATTTTAGGCAATTCACAGAACTGATTTTATAACAATATACCTACAGATACAACCCAGGCCGTGACTTAATAGTTGTGCTTACTTTGGTCAAGGTACTTTAACCCCCTTTTTTTCCATCTTGGCTTTGGAGTCCTCATCTGTAGAAAGGGATATTTATAAGGATAACAAGTGATAATGTATGGTAAATGTTTTTCACAGTGCCTGACATGCATTCAATGCCCAATACAAGAGACTCCTTATTAATCTTATTGCCCTCTGTCCTGGGGATGTGCTTGTTCAGCTGGTTTTTGAAGGTCCAGTGTCTTGTCTTTCTGGTGCTCCAGGCAGCCTGAAATTTTCTCTCTAACCAGGAGCAAAGTGTCAGTACAGAGGGAGTCTGATCCTCTGGGTTCTCTGGCCTGAACTCGCGTAGCTCACACTCTCATTGAGCTTTTCCGTGCTAGTCCCAACCACAGGACCTTTTTATGATCCACTTACTTATTTTCTGGAGGCCCAGGGTCTTGCACATTAATTAACACATGAAAGCATGGCATTTTCTGTACTCAAGGAAACCACCCAGAAGATTTAATAACATGATCTCAACAAAAATGGGATATTGAGATGGGAGAGAATTTTCTGTCAACTGCTATTCATCCTTTTGAGCAACATCTTGGGGGCCATTTGAGAGGTAATTTACTGTAAGGTAATATACTCCTTCAGCTTCTTTGCTACAGGCTACCGAACACACTTTGATGTCTCCATGATGTCTCTGGAACAATATTACCAATATTCACCATTGTGATGGGATGCATTCATGGATTACTGAAGCGTGAGTTGGCTGATATCCAGTATCGTGAGCTGCTGATCAATTTTAGGTTTTCACTTTGTTTAATACATGTAAAATGAAATCTCCTTCGATGTGGTAAATCTTGCTAATGTCAAGGTGATTAACCTTGGAGCTTCCTCCCATACAGATCATCTTTTTAGAACTGTCTCCAAATAATTGTTCTTAATTTAAATACACACACACACACACACACACACATATATGCATGGTAAATATAATAGGGATGATCAGAAAGTACAAAAGAGCTTATGATAAAAAGCAAAGATTCAAGGTCCCATCATTTCCTGCTCTCCAACTGTGCTTCCCAGAGTAGACCACTTTAACAATTTCTGTTTGCAGTGTTCTGACCATTACCTCCTTATATCTAAAGAAAATGCCTAATCTGCTAATTCAATAATTCACCAACTTCAGACATCATCAAGTGACCATCCTCTACCAGAGAGGAGGATTTAACTCACTCACACTATCTTCAATCTGCCCTCTCTTTCTTTCTGGCAATTTTTATATCTTTTGATCTTTAGTTCTTCTGTTGGTGACTCTAGTAACTTTAAGTGATATGCTTAACTCTCAGTTTCTAGCATACACCTTCGTCAGTTTCCCATAAAATAAGGATATTAGCACCCCTCCCCTTCCCTTAGCCTCTCCTCCATCTTTCTATATCCTCTTTTCCAAACAGACTGCTGTTCATTGACATCCACTTCTGAAACCTTAATTGAATTTTTTGGGCTTTGAAAAGCAACACAAGCCTTTTACCTTTTAATGAATCTCTAATGATGTTGGCCACAAGGGCCACATTTCTTCACACTTTAAGGTGGGCCACTAGAGGGCGGTTAATCCTGGTATCAAGCTTGAATCCTTTCTTTTACTGGATTTTATGAACTCCTGAAAGGTATGCCACATTTGAGGGTTTTTTTTTTTTTAAGTTTATTAATTAAGTATTTTTTTAATTTTTTGTTGGTACATAGCAGGTGTATATATTTATGGGGTACATGAGATGTTTTGATAAAGACATTTAATGTGAAACAAGCACATCATGGAGAATGCAGTAACAGTCCCCTCCAGTGTTTATCCTTTGTTTTACAAGCAATCCAGTTACACTCTTTTAGTCATTTTAAAATGTACAATTAAGTTGTTATTGACTGTAGTCATCCTGTTTTGCTATCAGTAGTGTGTCTCATCCATTCTTTCTATTTTTTTATGTACTTATTAACCATCCCCACCTCACTCGCCAACACCCCACTAGTTTTCCAGCCTCTGGTAACCATCTTTCTACTCTCTATGCCATGAGTTGAACTGCTTTCGTTTTTAGATCCCACAAATATGTGAGAACACGTGATGTTTGCCTTTCTGTGCCTGGCTTATTTCATGTAACATAGTGATATCCAGTTCCACCTCTGTTGCTGCAAATGAGTGGATCTCATTCTTTCTTGTGGCTGAATATTACTCAATTGTGTATATATACCATGTTTTCTTTATCCATTCATCTGTTGATGGACACTTAGGTTGCTTCCAAATCTTAGCTATTGTAAATAGTGCTGCAACAAACATAAGAATGCAGATATCTCTTCACTTTACTGATTTCTTTTCTTTTTGGTATATACTCAACAGTGGGGTTGCTGGATCATATGGTATATCAATTTTTTGTTTTCTGAGGAACCTGCAAACAGCTTTCCATAGTGGTTTTACTAATTTACATTCCTACCAACAGTGTACAAGGGTTCCCTTTTCTCCACATCCTCGCTAGCATTTATCATTGCCTGTCTTTTGGATATAGGCCATTTTAATTGAGGTGAGATGATATTTCACCGAGGTTTTGATTTACATTTCTCTGGTGATCAGTGATGTTGAGCATCTTTTCATATGCCTGTTTGTCATTTGTATGTCTTCTTTTGAGACATGTCTATTCAGATCTTTTGCCCATTTTAATCTGATTGTTAGATTTTTTTTTCCTATACAGTTTCTTGGGTTCATTATATTTTCTGGTTATTAATTCTTCCTCAGATGGATAGTTGGCAAATCCATTCTGCGTGTTGTCTCTTCGCTGTGATGATTGTTTTATTTGCTTGCAGAAGCTTTTTAACTATATGTGATCCCATTTGTTTGTTTTTTCTTTGGTTTCCCGGGCTTGTTGAGTATTACCCAAGAAATTTTTGCCCAGTCCAATGTCCTGGAGAGTTTTTCCAAAGTTTTCTTGTAGTAGTTCCATAGTTTGAAGTCTTAAATCTTTAAGTATTTAATCCATTTTGATTTGATTTTTGTATATAGTGAGAGATAGGGTATGGTTTCATTCTTTTGCCTATAGATATCCAGTTTTCTTAGCACCACTTATTGAAGAGACTGTCTTTTCCCCAGTGTATGTTCTTGCCACCTTTGTCAAAAAACGAGTTATCTGTAGGTGTGTGGGTTTGTTTTTGGGTTCTCTATTCTGTTCCATTGGTATATATGTCTGTTTATATGCCAGTACCATGTTGTTTTGGTTACTGTAGCTCTGTAGTATATAATTTGGAGTCAGGTAATGTGATTCCTCCAGGTTTGTCCTTTACCTTAGGATAGTTTCGGCTATTCTGGGTCTTTTGTGGTTCCATATAAATTTTAGGATTGTTTTCTCCATTTCTGTGAAGAATGTCATTGGTATCTTGATAGGGATTGCATTGAATCTGTAGGTTATTTGGGGTAGTATGGACATTTGAACAATATTCATTATTTCAGTCCATGAGCATGGAATATCTTTTCATTTTTTGTTGTTGTTGTTGTTGTTGTCTTCTTCAATTTCCTTCATCAGTGTTTTACAGCTTTTATTATGGAGATCTTTCACTTATTTGGTTAATTCCTAGGTATTAATTTTATGTGTGGCTATCGTAAATGGGATAACTTTTACAATTTCTTTTTCACATTGCTCACTGTTGGCATACAGAAATGCTACTGATTTTTGCATGGTGATTTTGTATCCTGTAAGTTTACTGAATTTATCGGTTCTAATAGTTTTCTGGTGGAGTCTTTGGATTTTTGCAAATATAAGATAATGTCATCAGCAAAGAAGAATACTTTGACCTTTTCCTTTCCA